TTAGATATTTTTTAAAAGTATTATAGAACTCTATTCTAAAATTTCTACAGTTATAAATAGGGTGCAAACTCATTTCCTCCAGCTTGGTTGTCTTGTATAGCACAATTTCTCCCATGATTATAAGTTATTGAATCTACAAAACCTATAGTGACACTAAACTGATCAGCTACCATGAAACCTATAGTGACGCTAAAGTCACTAAATTAGGTGAAGTGTTTTCAAATTTTAAAAAATACCTTGGTAGGGAGGTGTAAATTTCAAACTTATGATTGTAACATTTCATCACTAATTCAGAATAAGATAACAATGCAATTTAATAAAAATGATTTTTTAGTGAATTTTTTTATTATTATTAATTTTTTAATCATTTAACACAAGTAATAACTTATTCGTGAACCTTAAATTTCTATAATTATTAAAAGATGTTTAGTTACATTTTTACTGAAATAATAAATAAAAATAAATAGCGCAAAATAAATAGGGTATTACAACATGGTAAAGTTTTCTTGGCATACAGCACACCGACAAAAAGTGCATTTCTTCAACTAGATAAGTTTTGGCTCAATGCCTAGACAGCACTCGGCAGTGAACTGAATTACAAAATGATCACAGCAGTATTCCACATCACATTTTTTTCTCATTCCCACATTTATTTTTTTTGTTATTATTATTAAATTTGAATTGCTAAGTTCGTATCAACCAAAGCAAAATAAAAATATGTACGATTAGGATGTATTTTAATATTACGTACCAACCACATAACCAGATTAACTGAATTGTTTATAACAGAATTTAATATATATATTTTTAAGAAAAATAAAAAAAATCGCCAAGACCAGTGGATCTTGCCCAACTTTTGTTTCAGAACTTGAAGTTCGGTCTGGTTAGATTTCACGCACATAAACCATCAGCTTTATAAACCTACCAGCTTCATGTTAAGGATTTTCTATGTTTCTTTGGATCTCTAAACTCCCACCAGGATTTTCTTTGTTTCTTCATCTTCATCTATTTTATCAGCTTTCATGTTGGCCAAGAGTCCATCCACTTCTTTACCACCTTTGATATATGCCTTGAGCAAGGCATGATACATCTGTCTGCTTAATGGAATCACAGTCCTTACTGAACCTACCAAGTCTTCTACATCTTCAGTGCTGCCTTTCGCACCCAGCAAACTCAATATGCCTGTAATAACCTTAGGATTAGGATTCCAACCTTTACCATCTTCATATAATGAGAGAGCTGCCTTCATGCACACTACAGCCTTCTGCATCTCGCCCTTATCTAGGAACCCGGCTGCCACTCTGCCCCAACTATTTGGAGTCGACGCCTTTCCTTTATCCATTAAGTCTAGAAGCATTGCCTCGGCTTTCTCAAACAATCCCTTCTCGATATACCCAACAACTACGGTGTTTGGCACTCGAAAATCGTAGCAGTTGCCAGATGACTCCCACTCCTCCAGTAATTTCTCAGCTTCTTTGACCTCGCCAAGTCTCACCAGAGATTCCAGTATAGTAATATAATCCCTGTTGATGCACCTCTTACAAGCATTCTTCTCAAGACCCCATAATCTCAGCACCTCAGCCGTATTCCCGAGACTGGCATAGAGAGAAATCAAATGATTATAGCCAAGACCATCTTTATCATCGAGCCTCCCCTCTGATTTCTTTAGGGTATCATTCGCCTTATCTCTTAGGCCAGCCTTAATGTAGAAATTTGCCACAACCGCATATGTGTTCCAGTCCATGACAATGTAGGGTTGGCTCTCCATTTCATTCAAGATTGTTTCCATTCCCTCAATATTTGATTTTACTCCGTAAGAATTAATGCAGATTCTGTAGCTGAAGTTGTCGGGGGAAATGTTGTTATTCTTCATCTCAGTTAGAACATCAGGTACCTTCTCATACTGACCAACATTTGCGTAAAGGCACATGATGTTATTGTAAGTGAGAGGCGATGAAGCAAAACCTAGTTCCTTCATTTTCTGTAAATGGGACAAGGACTTATCAGTTTGGTGCTGTCGTACATAGCAATTCAGCAGAGCACCATATGTCTTATCTGTTTTATCTTGGTCCCTCAAGTTATTGAAATAGCTTTCTGCAGAAAGAAATCCATGGACCCTACCAATCAGATCCAACTGCACAGCATGTTCAGTTGGTGAAAATGTGCAGATTCGTTTATTATTCATCCACTCGGAAACCTGCATCCCCTCACAAAGCATGATATCAACAAAAAATAATTTATAGAAAACTAAATAAAGAACAGGTAACCACATTGATTGAATATTCGGTGCCAATTTTCCATTTCTTCTGGAAACTAGACAACACATAAAGTTTGATATACTAATTTCTTTCCATATTCCACACTTACTTTATTCCAACAACCAAGAGACAGGTCAATCGTGTCCTGCAGAATCACTTGTCAAATGATTCTCTTGCAGACAGACTTGTAGCAAGTCATTTGAACACTTGGATTCCTACCCTAAAAAGCCTTTTCCAGGACAGTTGTGTGCCTTTTAGTTGGTTCATTTAGAAATCATAATCTCTGTTTCTTAAGAGAAGCACAGAGCTTTTCACTGCATCCATTCCATACGGGTCAACTTTGACTGTGTGCATCAGTGTCATATGTTTAAAACTTTACGGTTATATTTCTATTGCTGCCAATGATAATGACATGCACTTGAAGGGAGCATCCACCATTTGAGCCCCTCAGCCTCAACAATCCCACTCCCCCCAGAAAAAAAAAAAAAAAAAAAAAAAAGACATTAAAATTAAGATTATAAAGGCAAAAGAAAAGGGTTATCATGCCACTCCCCTTAACTCAAAATTACAAGCATAGACTGTTTTGTTATGTATAAATGATATAGTTTACTGTATCAGGAGAAAATTTATGTTCCTACTTTTCAATCTAAGCTACAACCATCATCTCTATAATATATTAAATGTGACATTTGAAATTTCTCTAGGATAATTAAGTGCAGGCTTAGAACAGGAATGTTCATCCTTTCTCAACGTCCTTTATGGATTTTGAGTCTGGATGCTCGGGAATAGAGCTATGGCAAGAAATATATATCTCCCTTGCTCTTTATCTATTAAAAAAAAAGGCCTTCTTAGCAAAACTTCGGCCCTATGGGGTAAAGGGAAGTGCATTACTGTGACAGTGTGGCGCCATTTGTACTTGGTAGTTCATAATCTTGAAATATATACTCGTATGAAATTCTGCAGGCTATTACTTTTTCATTTCTTTTCAAAACAAAATAAACATCAAAAACAACTCAATTTAATTTCTTAAAGCAAACTCTTTAAGAAGGATGCATCTATCCATTTCCTGAATACTCTAACTTTCTTCAAACAAATTCCCAATTGTTCAAAAGAATACTTTCATTCATGAAATTCTCTTTCCTAATGCATTATCGCCAGCTAGTTGGTTATGCTTCGATTATCCATTAACACTCAACCAGTAAAAGTACGGTTAATTATTAACTCTCTCTCTCTACTGGGAGAAATGCAAAACTATACAAACCATATCACAAAATCACATATAAACATTTTTATACATACATATCCACCGGAAAATAAAAAAATATATATATACAAACCATAACACAAAATCAAACACATAAACATTATAATATGTGTGTGTGAGAGAGTGGAAAAAAAAAAAACCTGGAGGGCATGAGAGAAGCGCTTGCGCTTGCGGAGATCGTGAATGATGCGCTGAAGCTCGGTGAATCGCACCTTTTTGCCCTTTCCTACCCAGTCGTCAAGCTCTGGCACCACACTCAAGCTAGGGTTTCCGAGCGGACTGATCTTCGAATAGAGTGTGACCTTATTCTGCCGATTCGTATAGTACGATCGGCTCCAAATTGGGTTCCGAATTAGGGTTTCGAATAGACGACAATTGGATTGCATGTTCTAATTCGAACTCAAATCGATTCAACATCAATGACAGTTTCAGTGGAACCCTCAGAACACTGATGTAAGGTCTGTTCTGTTCTGTTCTGTTCTCTGTTTAGTTAAAATGAAGTGTAGTGTACAATACATAATTGGGTTTAGGTAGGGTTTAAGGTTTGAGGCTTTGAGCCCAAGCATGGGCTGGATTTGTAGAGATCAAAGGCTTTACTTTGATTGTAGAAAGAAAATCTTCAGTTTGAGGCTTTGAGCCCAATGCTGAGCCGGAGTATTATTTACAGTAATTTTTTTAATAAAAAAAACTCATTATCTAAACTAGACTAATATAACGGGTGGGCATTTATTTATTTATTAAAAAATTTAAATTGTTGAGTAATACTGTATACCCACCCATTTATATCTCTTTCTTCATCTGGATCCGATGTGGAACAAATACCCCTTGTAACATTCTACTCCACCTGAACTCGTAACGCTCTGGTTACGGTTGGACCACCCTGCCTACTCGAGTGACTCATTTGGACGCTTGGCATGACACCGGATTAAGGATCAGATCCTATCTCTGATATCAACAGTCTGTAAGTCTGTAACGGTGGGCGTTTGCTCATTTATTAAAAAACTTAAACTGTATACCCACCCATTTGTCCTCTTTTCACTTTCCATCCGAAAATAATGTGCGACAAATACTTATAACAACAAACCTCATTAGTAAAGATGTGTGAAAAAGGTTAAACTAATCTTATGGAACAAGTCATGTATGGTCATTTTAAGTTCCGAGTTCGGACTATCACTTGATAATGAATTAAATGGCCAGATAAAAATTTGAAATGTCAAATTGAAACTTCAAATAAGCTCATGTTTGGGAAAGATGAAAAATTAAAGCAAGTCTGATCCTAAAGAGTTCACAAGACCTCCCATCCTTAACCTGAGTTTTACTTCGGGCTCGCTTTATTCACTGAAATCAGATTTAGTCACAAATAGGAGAATAAATTAGTAAGAATGCTTTGCAAATCATAAATAAATGATAATCAAGCAATAAGTTCCCGAATCAATCACACATTATATTTAAAAAGAATTTTTGTTGCGTTTGGTAATCTTAATTGAGCGCTTTAAATTTGAACTAATTTTTTTTCAATTTTAATTTCAAATGGTCTATTCAGTGTTTCAAAACCTAAGAAAATTTATGTATTTTTATTGATTTTAAAATTATGTTTAATGTATTAGGAAAATTTAAAAATAAGTTCAATTTTTTTAATTTTCTTAATGATGTAGTATAAGTTTTTATTTTTATTTTTTTTAAATAATCGTGAGTGTGCAGACGAATTTGTATGCACCTCAATTAATTTCTTGAGGTCTTGAAATTAATGACCGAATAAGCCTCCACTAAGATGCGAAAACTTGAATTGGTGACCCAAGGCCCAGCTGAAGTATACCCACAGGGTTTATGTAGTACAAGTTACAACAACAGATTGGGTTGATATCGAACTTTGGACTAAAATTTCCCAACCCGAACCAAACCTAAGCTTCAAAATAACTCTCTTCTCTTAAACCCTACCATTTCTTACCTTTCAAAAAAAAAAAAAACCTACCATTTCTTCTTCTCCCGATGAAGCTTTCTCTCTCTAGCTTGCTAAATTCACGCCCCAAATTCGCTTATTATCAAAAGGGTTTGAGGCATTTCTTCAGCTCATCACCTACTCCGATCTCATCTTCTTCGTTTACAGGGTCCGGTTCACTGTACAGAAGGATTTCGCCAATCGGTAACCCAAATCTTTCGGTTGTGCCTGTGCTCGATCAGTGGGTTCGAGAAGGAAAGAATGTCACCAAAGAAGAGCTTCGACACATTATCAAAGAGTTGAAAACCTACAAACGCTTCAAACACGCTCTCGAGGTTCTATTACAGTTTACTTTTTCAATATAAACAACTTTATTTCTTTTTGTTTAGTCCAATTTTCTGTTACCCAAATGTTTTTTTTTTTTTTTTTTATTTAATTTTTTTTTTCAGATTTTGTGATTGGAGAGAATGGGTTACTAGAAAAAATTTCAACAATTTAATTAATGTGTCAAAAAATTCAAGACACCCTTGAAGTTGAAGGTCATGGATCACTATGCCAGAGCTGAGGTAGAATTAGAATAGTATTTCGTGCCATGAAATTAGAATCGGAGAAAAACTAGTTTAAAATTTGAATTAATTATGATCTCAGGTTCATTACTACCAAACACTGTGATGTATAATTGTTTGCGCCAAAATATGGCTCATGCCATATTATGACCATCTGTAATGGGTTAAAGTTGAAGCAATTTAGATTTACAAACTCCAAGGATGAAGGAGTGTAGTAAGTTTACAATCGGTCAGAATTCTGGGCAAGACGGTAATAAACTGTTATGATTAAAGTGTTCTTACCAAAATATGGCACTATTTGAATGTTGTCGTATAAAACTATCATAGGAAAGAGTGACATGGTTCACGTTGAGGTAATGCTAGGGGAACGGGAAGACCGAAGTTAACGGATATGGTAACATGCATTAGTTGAGTCTATGGCTTAGAGCATAATGAAAAAATAGAATTCATGTAGTCGACCCCAAGTAATTGGGAAGAATGCTTTGTTTGTTTGTTGTTGTTACATATAATATTATTACCTCCTCCCCAAAAAAAAAAAAAATAAAGAAAGAAAGAAAAGGGAAATGGAAAAACACCTAAGAAAGAAAATAGAAAAAAATGGAAAATGAACCAACTTTTTTCTCCATTTTGAGCTGTAAATTTTAATTTGTGTGAAGAAAAAAGTGGCAATGAGGGTACATTGCTTGGTGTGGCAATAAAAGATTTGGTTGACAAGGATACAAGTTTTACTGAATAATGCCAAATGATACGCCTGTCTCTAGTTTTTCCCTCCTAATATGTAACCTAGGCAGGACTCGTACCAGATAATGATCTTTCCGAAAATATTTTGGTGGCAATCTAATGTCTTAAGCATAAAAGTTATCCCAGCTCATTTGTATCCTCATAATGTCATAGATCCAACCTCTATATTTTGATTTTAATTTCGTTTTTCCAGGTATCTGAATGGATGACCGAAAAAAGATACATTTGTCTTTCTGCTAGTGACACTGCCGCTCGGCTGAACTTGATTTCAAGGGTTCATGGCTTAGAACAGGCAGAGAATTATTTCAATACCATCTCGCAACAATTAATAGGTTTTGAGATTTATACTGCCCTTCTCAACTGCTATGCCCAAGACAAATCTGTGGAGAAAGCGGAGGCTGTCATGCAGAAATTAAGGGATATGGGGTTTGCTAGAACACCATTGAGTTACAATATTTTGATGAATCTCTATTGTTGCATGAGAAGTTGGGAAAAGATAGACGCACTGATACACGAAATGGAAGAGAAGGGCATTTTCTGGGACAACTATACATTCACCATCCGCCTAACTGCATATGCTGCCGCTTCTGACAGCGAAGGAATAGATATGACTGTGGCAAGGATGGAATCTGATCCTCGTGTAGTTCTAAACACTCATACCTATTCTGTTGCAGCTAATGGGTACTTGAAAGTTGGGCTAGTGGACAAAGCTTTAGCAATGATGAATAAATTGGAGGGATTGATAGCAAACATGAAGACAAAGAATGTTGCATTTGATATTCTACTCAGACTTCATGCAAAAACTGGGACGAAAGATGAGTTGTATCGGATCTGGAGTCGGTACAAAAAGGAGAAAGTTTACAACAAAGGCTATATAAGCATGATGCACGCACTATTGAATTTTAATGACATTGAAGGAGCAGAGAAGATTTTTAAGGAGTGGGAATCTATGGGCTTATCCTACGACTTTCGGATTCCAAACTTCTTGATTGATGCTTATTGCAAAAATGGTCTTTTGGGGAAGGCTGAATCCCTTGTAAACAGGGGAATAGAGAAAAGGGGTAATCCTACAGTTGATACATGGTATTATTTGGCGGGCAGGTATATCGAGGATAATCAAGTCTCAAAAGCTGTGGAAACATTGAAGAAAGCAATCTTGGTGTGTCCACCTAACTGGAAGCCCGACAAGGATATTCTGGCTACCTGTTTGAAGCATTTGGAAAGTCAGGGAGATGTTGAAGAAGCAAAGGAATTTATAGGGTTACTGAAGGTGAAAGGAATTTTTTCAGCGGGTGTTCACGAAAGATTGCTCAGCCTTGTCAAAGGATGGAAATCACAATCACAAGCACAATAGTGAAATGGAACGGAAATAGTGATTAGGGCTGAAAAGACACGTGGAACCCCATTGACGAGTCAGAACACTGGTCACTGAGTTCCACTGCAAGCATTGGAGTTTTTGAAATTCAAGAGCCTATATATCTTGGCTTAATGCTCGATACTCGTCATTTCAACCATTGAAGTAATCACGTTGGGGTTCACGGTGCCATATTTTGTGAAGCATGGACAGGTCTCTGTAGAGCCGATCTTAGTTCTGTCACTATAATTCTTCTACGGAGACTGAACATTCTTGGGTAAGACTACCTACAGGTTATAACCGTTCTCATTTTTATCTTTTGACCTCTTTTAAGCCATGGAGGCAAACATTTTCTTTGTATATGCTACGAAACATATGCCATGTTTATGGTTAGCTTTGTGATGCATCTCATTTTTGGCGTTTAATAATAACCCAACTAGAATTGGTATCATGATGTCTTCTCCATGTTAATGTCATTGAACCAGGAATGCAGAAGAGCCAATTTCTTGATTATCCTCGATATAACATTTCTTGTCTGCAGGTTATGAGCCAAAGTTTCTAAATTTGCAATCAGCGTGCACGTTTCATCCTTGACCTTGATTCTTCTAAAAAAAGAGTACTATGCTAAGTCACACAAAAAAGTGGGAGCGGGAGCGAATGCAGCAAAATTTAAGTCACCACGTAGTGGAAGTAGTGGAATTAGGCTGAAGTAAGAGCGTGAGCGGAGCGCGAGAACATTGCATTACGTGACTTAGGTACACTCCCTCATAGGTACTACTCCCTCTGTCCCGTAATAATTGGGCGTTTTGAGAAACTGAACTATTATGGGACGGAGGGAGTGTGATGGAAGTAAAGACCTTACATTATTGGGCATGAAATGGGGTGGATTGGATCCAAATTTCTGTCTGGATCTACTTATGTTGGCCCACGGAACAAGACATTAATGCAGGTTAAGATGGATAACAATGATGGATTATAAATTTGGTGGTCTAGATTCCATTATTGAGATGCAAGGTTGGCCCAAATCAATACATGGCAAAAGAAGATGGGTAAACAAATTGCCCTTGATTCCTTAAACTGAGACAAAATAATAATAATAATAATAAAATAAAATAATAATAATAATAATAATAACATTAACATTAACATTAACATTAACGTGAGATGAAGTAATTAAAAACTTTTTTAAAAAAAATTAAATATAATAGCAGTCATGGTTTGTGATAAAAGAAATAGAATTAATGTCGATTTTTTTATTTAACGGAGGATGGTCGTGTCCCACATCTTAAAACACATTCTTAATTCATTTATTAGTGGGCACCTATTCATAATTTATCTGTGAATGTGAAAAGGTATCGAGGAATAAGACATAAAATTGGAGAAATTATTATATGGTTCTAACCAATGACAAAAAGATACATAAGTAAAAAATGTAAAATAAAATTGATATAAAATTAGATCGATTTTATGATGTGTCAAATAAATATTAGTCCGAATCAATGGTTCCGAAATCATGGAAAAAATTTCTGTAAATTGCGGGTGCGTGTGAGTATAGGAATGGTAGTGACGGTGACAGGTAATTCCAGTGTTCAAACACGGGGTTTCTTAATGCGGGTTATCCCACTCCCGTTTTCGCTGCAGGGAGACTTTCCACCCCATCTTTGCCCCCGTTTAACATCTTTACCCCATTGAATACCTGCCCCAACCCGTTTAAGACTAGAAATTCTCCTCCATTTAATTGTTTTTATCAACTAAAATTATATAATTATTGAAAAGATTCATTAAAAAAAATTGACAATAAATAGTTTTAACATAAAATTCAACATTAAAAACATTCTAAATGGTCGCGCAGGCTACTTGTTCCAGATTTTCAGATTTTGTTGTAAATATATATACTAATGAAATAAGGGTACTTAACTAATTTACTTATCTAAACGGGACGCAACCGTTTAAAAATTCCACTCCCGTTCTCACCCAAAACAGCCAAAACGGGGGGATTTTTCACTCCATCTCCACCCCCGTTTAACATCTTTACTCCCGCGAGTACTCGTTCCGACCCGTTTAAGACTAGAAATTCTCCTCCATTTAATTTTTTTTATCAACTAAAATTATATAATTATTGAAAAAATTCATAAAAAAAACAAATGGATAATAAATAATTTAACATTAAATTTAACATTAAAAACATTTTAAATGGTCGCGCAAGCTATTTATTTCAAATTTGTTGCAAAACAAACTATCTCGATATATATATATATATATATATATATATATATTAATAAAATAAGGGTACAAATATAAAATATATATATTAATGAAATAAGAATACTTAAGTAATTTATCTATTTAAACAGGCAGGACAGAATAGGGCGACCTCTCCTGTCCTGCTCGGATTTCTAATATATCAAATCATCCTTACCAAATAAGTTAAACAATCTCTCAAAGTTATAAAAAACAAAACAAAATGGGATGAGACGGATACCTGCTAGAGGGGGACAAATTGCCATCCCATTAAATTGAGTGGCAAAACCACCACGAACAAAAAGTAACATTAAAAGATGCAAATCAAACCACGTATAATCTTATCAAACATGTGGAATAACACTAACATAGAACGCGGAGCCAATCACGCTTTGGATAAGAAAACGAAATCAATAATTAATATCACTCCCTCTCAATTCCAGTTTTTGAGAGAGAGACATTACTTACTAACTACACTCATAAAAGTCTCTCAAGTCAACATCAGCACCATCGCAGGTTAGATTATGAATTCATGGATCCAATTTTAATGGGTTGTTCATCCAATCTTTTAACCCTTTTGTTCTCTATTCTTTTCGTTTTTAACTTGTCGGTAATAATGTGAGAAACTATAAATAATAAGAGAAATAACTCGTGATCATGATGTATATATGACGACATTGTGTATATATATTTAGGGATAAATTATATTAACCTCTTCTAAGGTTTTTTCACTATACATTGACATTTCTCTTTGTTTACTAAATTATATTTATCTTTCTTGTAATTTGTACGTAAATAACACATATTGTCACCAATTTTGTAATTTTTAAATTTCGATTATATCCTTAGACGACATGTTTATTGCAATAAAATATAATATATGTAAGGACATAAATATAATTACAAACTAAAATGAGGTAAGTGTAATTTGACAAAAAAAAAAAAAAAAAAGAAATATCATTTATATTGATGAGACTTCATTAAAAAAATCAATGTATATATATATTTTTTTCGTAACGAGAATGTTATATTGTTATGAGTTAGTAATTTAAAAGAAAGAAAAATATAGAAAGCTCGAACACAGTTTTCAAACATAAAGAATAACCAACCACTCAAACAACAGCACTCACAAAAATCTGTATCTGTATAATTTACTTTATATATATTTATCACTTACAAGAATGATTTGTGGAAGATCGTATCTGATAGTGGAGTAGAAGTCATCCTTCCGTTTGGGTTACTTTTCTGGTTAGTGGGACAGTTGGAGTGTGCTAAAAGCCCCATTTGTGAGCCGATGAGTCAAATTGGAAGGCATTATTGTCAACTCCCATGGGGCCATCTTCAATCATTAATGCTATCGATTGCTGTCTGCTCTGATTCGGTCTACCCACTATCTCTTTTTTTATTTTCATTAATTAAATGAGGTGGAGTTTTATAAACTTACTCGTTTTCTTGACTATCTTACTCTTTTATCCGATGGATGAGATGAATTTTCGTAGATTTTTATTTTTATTTTTATTTGTTCTATTGACTATTTCTTTTTTTAATTCATTGAATGAGGTGGATTGTCGATTCAGAGACATACCTACTAAATTTTACCAAATGTCTTTCTTTAACTGACCGAATGAAGTAGAATAGACCGATGAAGTAGAATCAACGTAAAACTTGTATCACCATTCACGGTGACCGAAAGTCCTTTCTGTCAATTTTCTACGGACGTCTATGGTCCGTTTGTATTGCCTTGTCACTTCCAAGAATCAAGCTATTGTGCTGGTATAAGGTTTTTTTTTTTTTTTTTTTTTTTTAAACCGACCACCTTTGACATAAGAACTACAAGATGAATTTCGAATATATATAATTACTTACAAATCACATATTAACCTAAAACATTTTACATAATTTCACTACAGTCAAAGATACACGGTCAATATGGGAACGTACATGTAGTAGAAAATGGTATGTTACAAGTGAATATTTGTGACAAGAAATGAATCCTAATTTTAGGATGACTGAGCCTTTTAATCCAGTCCATATAATGTCTTTTTCGGGAGCTAGTGAAAATGTTTAAGCAAGTCCCCGAGAGAGTTTCGTGGATCTATGATTTATGTCTCATCTTTCATTTCTTTTTCGTTTGTTTTGACAAATATATCAATCAATTCCGATTCTCTCTTTTTCGCTTGATTCTTTTTGGATCAAAATATATAGAGTCATGGATAATTGAAAAGTTCGAGCAATTTATGTGAATATGCAATCTCGACAAACTAAAGAAATATCAAACACCCTCTTCCAACACAGGTTTATTAGACCAACAGGTCATTGACAGTGAAACGAGTGTAGAGAAAATATAATACAAAAGACACAAGAAAACTAGAAACAAAAAATCTCATTGAGAGTTAAAAGTTACAGCTTAATGAGGAAAATACATGGGAAATTCGCTAGGATGGTTTTTGTCATATGCACTGAGAATCCATGATCGAACCATTTGGTAACGTCTGTTCAATTTTGTTTGTTCTCTCTCTAAGTCTCAAAATCTTGACCTAGGGTTTGAGAGTTCAGACCACTAAGACAAACGTAAACTAGTAATGTTTATTCAAGCTGGAGGCAATATGGTTAGAGGAGCAAAATGCTAGCCAAGATTTAACCCCCAAAAAAATAAAAAAATAATACCAATATTTTGAGTAACCTATATCAAAACAATAGCATGCAAAGCATATATGTATTGTTTAAAAATATGGGCAAAATTTCATATATTATTTTATTTGTAACACTCATATCTCATCTATTCATCCATATTTCATAACCTTACTTTGCATAAATTTTTACAGTATACAACAAGGGCCAAGGGAGAAAGACATAATCCATGATCAAAAAAGGAGAAGGCACAGAAGAAAGCAACAGCAGAGGAAAATTGAGATTCTGTTCAAACACTTATTAGCCTGCATCTCCTGCCTTCTCAATCTAGGGCTGGTATTCCCCACCAAGTGATACGAATTGGGATATGCATATAAGCTCTCCGAGTTTCCAAACACCCTCGCATAAACCATCTCCCCAAACATCCCAACCATAGGATGATAAACACCCATAGCTGTACTGCCACCAAGATTAAATAGTGGTGGTGGAGAATCTTCTTCGTAACCACTGTATTGATGAGGGGAATATTGGTGTTGATCCTGATAAGGATTGCGATATGGAAGCTGGTGACCAGGATGTGATGATGCGGTCAGAATTTGGGTACCACATGCTGGTGGCCTTGGGGGAATGACCAAACCCTTGCCCTCAAGTTCAGCATCGGAAGGGGTTTGGCCCCGGCCATAGAGGGGGACAACGGTGGTGTGGGATATTTCAGCTTTGCATACCGGGCATCGTGGGTGCTCATCTGAAGCAAGGGAGTCACTCTGGATGTGGAACCACTTGTAGATGCAGGGCCAACAGTAGAGGTGGCCACATAGGGTAACCACTGGATCATGTGCAAAGTCCAAGCAGATGTTGCAATCGAAGCAGCCAGAACAATTTTGTGGGTCGGCTCCTGCAGCCGAGATGGATTTCCATTCATGAGCAAAGTATGGGTCTAAGGCCATGGTTCTGTACTTAAAATTTCTTCAAGCTAACAATCCTCAACTCTGAAAGACAAGAAAAAACAGAGGTTAGTGATTGAGAATTGATTTGGTAGCTAAGTAACCTAAGACGATGTGGGCATCTTTTATCTGGATGGATTTGACCTTGAAACCAATCATTCTATAACTATCTACTTGGGGTGATGGGACTGAGAGTGCGGCTATGGGAAAGAGAAGATACAGGTAAATTTAGAAGAACTGCAAACCAGACAGCACCTGTGCACAAGAGCATAAAGAAACTTGATGTGCAAAAAAAATGCCCAAATTTTAATAATTATGTGTCTGGACCACAAGTCTGAAAACTCCAAAAGCACCGACCGAGTGTTTGATTGGCTTGGTTTGTGGCCAAAAGATAATGTGTCTAGTCTATCACAAAAAAGCATGAAGCAAAGAATTAAATGGACCCACAAACTTGGCTCAACAAATTTTATCAAATTTAGAAGATAAAAGATGACAGGTACCGGCAGTGTATGATTGCCGTGGTCCAAGTCTTCCGGAGTTTTTTTTCCCAATTTTTATTCTTTTAATTAATATTCAAATTGGAATTCCATATTAACATTCAAATAAGCGATTTTCCAAAATATTGATATTACATGAAATCTAAACCAACAAAGTCTTAGCTATCTCTAGTTAAATGCACTACAAAAAGAATAATCCCAAATATTATTCCCAAAGTCATGAAATCTGAACCAATAAAGTCTTGGCAATTTCTAATTAAATGAACAACAAAGAGAGTAATCCTAAACATAAAAAGAATAACCTAAACAAAATAGGAAATAAATAAAATTATTAAATCACATCCCCTTAATGCTAAAAAAAAAAATAAAAAATAAAAAACCTGATTTCATTATGTTAAAATTGGGTGAAATCTAAAACCAAAACAGAAAATAATATGAAAGTAATGCAAAGCTTTCAGAGCAAAGTTCAGTTACCTACCTTACCAAAACGTTTAATAAGTGGGACACTACTCTGGTAGAAATTTAATCTCTTCTAGAACATTAAATATATCAGTCCCATTTTCAACTCTCATCTCATCTTCTCATTGAATGAGGCATAACAACTACTTCTAGACCATTAATCACTCAATTATTCTAGTTATAACTATTGTTCTCCATGCATTTCATTTTGTACTTCTGATTTGAATGGTTACAGTCTCTTTTTTGTTATGTAAGAGGAAACGCTTGCTCCTCGATTGCTGATTTATTTGACCTTTTGGACTATATTGGTCCTTGGGGTTTTCGTTCTTGTGTATTATGGATGCGTTCCCCTTTTGAACGTTTTTCTAATATATTTTACTTATAAAAAAAAATATATATATATATATATATATATGGTTACAATCACCTAGTTGCTATTTAATACTTAATAAAACCTCTTATTGTGACAATCAAAAGGAACAAAAAACAACAAAAAGAGAGAAAGTAATAAAAAATAAATAAAAAAGTAGCTTTCTTTTAGCTTGATCAGGAAATTTGGCAACCAAACACAAGAAAAAGTTTTTCCATAGCTTGTTGGTATTTACATTAAAGATGCTTTTTAAGAGAAATGATAAGACTTTCTCGAATCCTAATAGCTAGCACAGTATTTTCTAAACATATTTTTGAGACTGCTTGTTGTACCTTCCAATTTTGTATATATTCATGTTGCCAAAGTAATATGGGACTCTAAAAATTAATACAAGTGGCGCAATAATATTCACAATGACTCCAAAATCTGGATCGGACATAAAGTGGATCTAGAGATCTACACATCTATCAAACTGCCACAAATTTCAAAACAAAAATTAAAATATACCAGGAGTAATCTATGTTTCCAAAGTACATATATATGTATTTAGAAAGAGAAAAAAATAAATTATTAAAACAAAAAAGAGGGAGATAGAAGCAAAACAAAGAATAATCTTTTTACTTCCAGCAGATAGATACTATCTGATTCTGATGGATTTTTGGGAAATTTTAAATAAGATCCTCAAGTAATAAATCATCAGAATTCTGCTAATATATGTGATAAATAACTGTCTTCAGGAATCCTAGTAGAAATTCCGTAGGAAAAAGAAATCAACAAATGAGTTCAGGAAAATAAATGTGTTTCTACTAATATTTATATGTGATATAGATCGCTGAGATTGTAATGCACAAAAACTATATCATTGAAGAATAATCATTACAACAGCGTAATCAAGTTTGTATGCTGAGCCTCTTTTATGGAAAAAGGCATATCAAATATAGGAGAGGAATTCTTTGAAGAAAAACGGATTTGTTTTCGAGGAAGGAATCATATTTGAGCACAGCAATAACTACACCAATAGGCTTTCTTTTACCTTTTTAATGCAAATGCCAAGAAGAAGGGTAACAAATTGTATCCTGATTTTTTTTTTTTTTTTTTTTTAAAAGGGGTAAAAAACAGGAAGGCTCAACCACCAGAGAAAAGATAATTATCTTCCATGATAGGAGGTGTGAAAAAAGCCGAATTGTGGTTCAAGCCTGGTCCATGAACTCCATGATCCGACATTTATTCACGATTTAAACAGGAAACAAGGAATCTAGGACAAGTTAATAAAACCTTCAGAAAAAGTTGAGTTGCCTTGGCAATAGATCATATTCAACAAGATACACTAAAACCACTCTCATCTATTAAGAGAAACAAAAGTGAAAACAAGCATACTCTTGAGGAATGAAAGTGAAAAATTTTTAGCAAGTAATTTACTGATATTGATAATAGCCCTTCCTTTGTCATAATTTTCATGGAACCCAAACAGAGATGGTAAACAAAATGACAAGAAAATTTAAACAATATTTTCCCCTTTTTCAGTGACACTAACTGCTGGAGAGATTGCAAAAAGCAAATAATAAAAAACCACTCTTACCGACTGAAAGAACAACAAAATAAAATTATCAAATTTTGACTTATTTGTCTCACAAATACAATAATCTATTCACTCCAAAGGGTTCCAAATTAGAGTTTGAACAGGAGGCTAATTATATATATATATATATATATATATATATATATATATATATATATATATATATATTGATGACTACCGAATGAACCAAGTATATAGTTTCTAAATTTCCTCCAATTCCAGCATAAGGGTTTTTCTAGAAATTCAAACAAAAGAAAAAAGAAATTCTCTCGACTTCAGTGACAAAATTATTGAGAAATTATCTAAGAATAATTGAACAAAAAAAAAAACACACACACACACATTTAAACGAATATAGGGAAAGAAAAAAAATCAATTTTTTTTTTTTTTTTTTTGGTAAATAGGAAAAAAAAAATCTGCAATCCACTATCAATGCAATGACAAACATCAGATCGATCGCTAATCACAACACGCACAAGATCTATGACTTTTAGTCACCAAAACAGAAACATTTCTTACTAAGACAACTCCGAGAAAGTTCAATTTGAAAGATTTACGTTTATACCACTGTAACGAAGATATATATATATATATATATATATATATATATATGAAGAAATTTGAATGCATACCGAAGCTGTGAAAAGTATTGATCAACGTTTTCTGTTCTTCGGAGCTTCAACGGCGATTTTAGAGAGAGAAAGATTGAGAGAGAGGGGGTGGTGGCATAGAGTTTTGTAGGTCTGGTTTTATAGACTAATAAACCAATGTTGTTATTCACGTAATACAGCTGATACTTGAATTAGCTGACGTGGCAGCTTTGAAATGGATGGCACGACGCTCATGGATTTACCCTACGGTCAGTGTATCTCTGTATCAATTTGAGAACCAGCGTTTGTACACGTAGGATTCTAATCAGACGTTTTTGGTTTGGGTGGACCCACAATGATCAGGTGGGTCCCATAAACAAATTCACTTTGGACCTACCTCATCCAGATCACATGTGAGATTTGATTTTGAGCATCCATCTCTACCTACAATTTTCTTTTCCTTTTTTTTTTTATGGAAATGACCGATAATATAATTGGACTTCAAGACAACAATTTTAACAATATTTTTATAAAAAAATAATAATTATTGAACATCAAAAATAAATTTTCTATTGTAATTCAGAGTCATGGAAAATCAAAAATATACATGTAAGAAAGTAAAGATGCGTAAATCTCGTATACTGATTGATAATAATTTTACTTATAAAAATGTGATATTCTTTATAGATTTGATTGTTGTGTTGTAAAAGCTAATATTACAAATTCTTTTTTTCTTTTTTTATTCAAAGTAGTTATAATAGTGAAAAGTGTTACATCTATATTTTTAAGTAATTTTTTTTTCCTAATGTATTAACACACATTTTATAATTTGTTCATTACGGAATTCAAATTCCTTACATCGTATTTAAATTTCAAGTGATTTATAAATTAATATGAAGATAATTACACAAATAAAGTTTACGCATCATTGGAGAGTTGGGTGGAGTTGTTTATGAAAGTATAAGTCTTTGTCAAGTGATTCACTCCTAATAAATAATACTAAAAATGTTGGTTTACTAGTTTGGTATGGTGATCATGTTAAAAGACCATTAATAGTAAGTGACCAAATAATTTATTTAGATCTAAATAAATTTATTATTATTATTTTTTTCTCCACGTTACCTAGATAGAAATTAAGCACCAAATTAGTTAAGAAAGACCCACCATGGTGGTCTCATTAGTAATTGCCACTTGAGTTTAGAATTTCCTCCTCCTTTTTTTTTTATTTTTTATTTATTGGGTAATGAATAATGATTGGTTAGCCAAAACTCCACTGTGCTCTAGGAGGTGGGGCCAAAAACCCATTCAATATTTCTTGGAGACTTTCTATGTTTATTTACTACTGCCTTGACATGGATTTCAACCTCACAATGTATCATAATTGGGTGTTCACACATCATCATAATTGGGTGTTCACACATCATCTTTCTTACCTAGTGTTTGAAATGTGATTTGGATTCGGATTTGGAGTTGGAGTTGGAGTTGGCTTTTACCTTTGGGAATATTTATTACAAATTTACACATTATGTAATGGTTACTAATGTTTAAATAATTATTATTATTTTTCTTTATTTGGTAGAAAAAATACAAAGAAAGAAAAGATAATAAGAAGAATATGTCCTCCATCGCTCTTTACAAATTTTCATCCCTTAAAAAATGAGGGAGGTAAAATAGACTATTATAGAAGTTTTTAATTAAATACTATTTTAAATTACGAAAAATTATAATATATTCCGAAGGTATGATACTCCGTAGTCATCCCAATCTTTTAATGTGATGAGACCCACCACCACATTCATGATCAAAGGGTTGCCAGTGTTATGAGATATCATACCCCTGTGTATTTAATATTTTTTCCTTAAATTACACAAGTTTTAAATTACAGTATTATCTTTTATAAACTATTGAGCATAATGGTAAAAATCATTTAAAACTTTATCTTTTCTTCTCTCATAATAAACATAATAAATTATGAACTTTATTATATTCTCTTCCATTCAAACGAACAAAAAAGAAAAAAATAAAAAACACAATTTTTTTTTCAATTTTTTTTTTCTAAAGATGTTTCATTCATTACTTTTTCTCTCCCTTCAATCCAATTTTTTTTACATTAAAATTGAAAAACCTTTCAAAGAAAAAATTAAAAATAAGTTGTAATTGGAAATTAAATTTAGAGTGTGGACAAAGACTTTTAAATTTTATATATACTGAATTCAAGAACTTAAGTATTCAGGGACCCCTCTCTCTCTAGATGAATGCGAGGGTTACCTGTCAGAAAAGTAAAAAGTTCAAATTCCCTGATTATTATTTCAAGTAACTTGTCTATCTATTAATTTCAAAATAATATACATAATTTTAAATATTTTTTCAATTAAGTTGAGAAGAGAATTATATATAAAAGAAAGTAAGTTTAAAAAAAAAGGGGGATTTAAATATATAACAATACAACATAAATTGTTTGTCACATCAAAGCATAAGTATAATTCTTCGATTAAAATCTGAGACAACTTACCTACCTATTAATTTCAAAAGAATCAAGTGTTCACTCCTAAAAAAAAATGTGAGATATTTTGAGAGTTTGAGACTATTAATAGGTGACCAACCCATTTATTTAGATCCAAATAAATGCGACTTTATTTCTCCACGGTGTATAGAGGTAAACTAAATACCAAATTAATTGAGAAAACACACCAACTGTGTTATTTTCATTAGTCATTGCCATTTGAGTTTACGCTGGGTGGGAATTAAAGATTTGAAATTAAAACTTGTAGAATCGGAGAAAAGTAACTAACAAAATTGAACTAATTTTTTTTTTTAATTTTACAAATTCTAATTTCGAACTAATTCTATGCAGTCGAATACAACTCTAAAATTTTTTATTTTAGTTATGGGGTAATGACTATAATGGATATTAATGATTTGTTAAGTGGTCTATGAGGTGGGGGAAAAAGTCCATTTAAGCTTATAATGTACATTGTTGGGTGTTCACCCATCATCATGACTACTGTTACAAAGGTTATTTGTCCTATATCGAATCCGAATAAAAAAATAATTGAGTATAAATGGGTGGTAATGTAACACTATCCAATATCTTGAGTTTTTTAATAAATGGGTAAGTATCTACCCATTACAATTGGTATTAGATCCAAACCCAATCCTTGATCCGGTGCCACGTCAAACGCCCGACTCAAAAGGCCTCTAGGTGAGCTACCCACGGGTAGGAAAGGTGGCCCGACCGCAATGAGGGCGTTGCGAATTCGGGTGGGAGAGAATGTTACAAAGGTCATTTGTCCCACATCGGATCTGGATGAAAAAGTGATTAGGTATAAATAGGTGAGTATGCAGCATTATTCAATAACTTGAACTTTTGAGTAAATGGGCAAGCGCCCACCCGTTACACCTGAATGAAAATTGTGCATCCTTAAATGAAAAGGATAATAGAAACGATGAATAATGTGACACTTTATTTAATCTTTTCCGTCTCTTTCTCTCTTTTTCCATTCAACCTCGAGCAAATTAAATTAACAGGGATGTTTCATCCCTCCTAACTTTCTTCCAACCAAATAAGAGCTTCATTCTTCCCATGTCAACCCTCCGTCCAACTAAACATGGCATTGGAGATGGCTTCCTAATATTGGTTTATGTAATACAAGTTCACTCTGTGCCATTATTACCAATGTGTAAACTTTTACTGTTGAGATAGTCTGCTTCAATTTGAGCTTTAAAAAATATATATATTATTATCCTCTCCTTTTTTTTTATTTTTTCTTTTTTTATGTATTGTTTATAATTACATTGTAATTGGAAACTAATCTTTAGAGTGTGGTTAAACACCTTAACATCACACACACACACACACACACACATATATATATATATATATATATATACACTTTTTTCTGGCTTTTATTAATATTTTTTTTTATAATTAAATTGCAATAGGAAACTAGTTTTAGAGTGTGGATAAACACCTTCAAATCATATATACACACACCAAGGTCATGTGAGAGTTATTTGTTAAGAAAATAAAAGAATAAAATTTCTTTGATAATTATCTCAAACAACTTGTCTTATCTATTAATTTCAAACAATGCTATGCAGTTGTAAGTATTTTCAATCAAGTCGAGAAGAAAGTTAAATGCTGTATTAAAAAAATATAAAAAAAGGATAAAAAGGAGAAAAGACAAAAATAAAAATGGGATTTAGATATATAACAAATGCAACAGGGATTGTTTGCCACATCAACCATAACTCTAATTCTTCTATTATTGTCTCAAACAACTCATTTATCCATTAATTTAAAAACAATGATTTCCAATTCTATGTATCATTGTATCTTGCAATCAAGTCAAAAATAAGTTATAAATAAATGCAAAAAGTTAAAAAGAAAAGGAGAGATATATAGATATATAACAACCACTAAAATATTCAAAAGTTTTGATATAAGAGACTTATTAATCACTCTTAAATTACATTTAATTTAAATTTAGATATTTTTGTGTGTAAAAATGAAACTCAAGACATGTGAGTTTACATTTCGTTTAATTTTTTTTTTTTTTTTTTTTTTAACCACTAAGCAATTCGTAGAAATTAATTGTCCATACTTTCTTCCTTATTTTCTATGAGTGGTGAACATAAAATTCGATTAAATTTATGTAAATATAAACTGATGTAATCATGACATCATAAATATTAATAATATTATCATGACGTTAGATTTTAATTAAATCAGTCCGAGTTATTCGGACTCCACCAACTCATTATGCAAATTCTACGCATTCCAGCTTCCATGACATTTGAATCAATTTTTTTTAAGAATTAAGTAATTTTAGGAGGAAATTTTTTTTTTTATCATGAATGTTATTCTATTTAATTTATAAAATACGTTTTAACTGGAGAAAACATAATGTACTGTTATATTCGAAATTTATAAAATACGTTTTAAGTGGACGAAACATAAATGTTACACTCGAAAAGCAGATCGTGGTTGATTGGTGAATTGTGACAATGTCAAATGAAAAAGACAGGTACCCACGTGAGGGCATTTAATTGATTCCAGTTCATTAATGATGTTGTGTGTCTACCCTTCTAGACCGGTTCAAGATTGTGAAATATCAATGAAAATTAGTACTATTTTAAGTTAGTGGGGTGAAAAAACGTTTAATTCTCT